AGCACCTGCCGCGCCAGCCCCGCGCCGCGTGTACGCGTGTGCCGGTGCCCGGCCCTCGTGGTCCCAGCCGTGGCGGGAGACCGGGCGCTGCGGGGCCGGAGCGGGGCCCGGTGTGGACGGAGCACCGGCAGCTCGAGCTGGCGTCCGAGAGCTGTCTGCGGAGGAGGGCCAAGACGAGCCGCAGGGCAGTGGACCTTACCGTGGCGCCTTGAGATCCCTCAGGGCGGTCGCGCGGTCTGCCCGGGCCGGCCTGGCCGCTGGTGTTCCCTCGGCATCCTGCAGCCGGGGCGGGCCGGGGGCACGGCCGGGCGTTTGCAGAGCTGGCCTTGGGCCCTGGGCCCAGGTGTGCAGGGGCGCGGTCCGGCTTCCTTTGAGCTTCCCTTTCTCAGCCGTGTTTGGACCGGTTTGGAAAAATGAGGGCAAGATGACCAAAGGCCCTTGTAACGCTGTGCTCTCTGGTGGGCAGCCTTCTGTGGTGCTGATAACATAGCGGAGCCCAGACGTGTGAGCATCCCAGCGCTGCCAAGCAAGTTAGCAGTGGCTTCAGAGGAAGAGCCGGGGCGCTGGTACTCAGGCAACAGGCTTTTCCTTTCTGCCCTCAGGGAGGCCTTCCCGTGTGGGGCAGGACGTCGTCAGGTGGGTGCCTGGCCCATTCGCTCCCGCGGGGGATTCTGGTGGAAGGTGGCCGCCGTCACAAGTGTGGGAGGAGCTTGGCCAGAGTGGAGGTGCGCCTAATGCTGTGGTTTCATCTTCTGGATCATTTGTGGATACCACAGCAGTCTCCTAAGGAGAGGCCGGCTTGGGTTTTCTTCCTCAGCTGCCATGGGAAGCATCGCTGTGAAGTCCCGATGCTTAGTTGTCATTTAAAAAAAATTAAGCTTAGCTTTATCTGGTATGTCATTTGCAAATATCTCCTCCCATTCTGTCGGTTGTCTTTTGGTTTTGTTGACTGTTTCTTTTGCTGTCAAAAAAAGACTTCTTGATGAGGTCCCAATAGTTCATTTTTGCCCTTGCTTCCCTTGCCTTTGGGCGATGTTTCTAGGAAAAAGTTGCTGCGGCTGAGGTCGAAGAGGTTGCTGCCTGTGTTCTCTAGGATTTTGATGGATTTCTGTCTCACATTGAGGTCTTTCATCCATTTTGAGTCTATTTTTGTGTGTGGTGTAAGGAAATTGTCCAGTTGCATTCTTCTGCATGTGGCTGTCCAAAAAAAAAAAAATTAAGCTTAGCGACCTAACAGATATCTACCACGTATTTTAATTTATGTAACCCAAAATATTTAATTGGGTAACAAAGATGGCAGTAAGTCAGTGTTCAGCAAGGTGCAGTATCTGCTCCAAGGGCTTTTTAAAAAATCATTTTTTCCAGTCTTTGAAGAGTTGTTGTTTGAAACTTGATGGCATCTTTGTGTAGCAAGATACAGTGGTCTTCTTTCAAACCTGGTTGACCAGCCTCAGAGCATCAGTACCAGTAACGGTGGTGTGATTTTAGGGGGTCCCAGGAGGAGGGGGGGCACGAGAGGAGAGAGAAGGGTGGCACATTTCCTTCCTCTTTCTCAGTATTTGGAGGCTCTCGGACCTGAATGTTGAAACAGGCAAGGTTTGCTGTTGTCACCTTCCTTTTTGTCCCCCTCCTTCATGGCTCAAGGCGACCACTGCCCCCTGCTTGCCAAGTGCCCCTCAGGTGCCGCCTCAGCCAGGTGTGACTTCACCCCGAAGCTTCCGGCTCCTCTCCCTCTTGTCCGAGCCCACACCCCTTCATTAGCCCGCGATGCTATCTCAGGTGGGTGCGGGCAGAGAGCACCCTCTCTGCTCACGTGTGACGGGCTGGCACCCTCTAATCACTGGATAAGTGGCTGGGTTTGCTTTCATCTCCCAGCCCAGCTCCTATCTTTCTAAACAAGTGAAGTTTGTGAAGTATTTTCTCAGGCAATTAACAGTGAAGAAATGTGCTTATGAAAGGTCTCCCCCCGGAGGGGTGGGGTAATGCCGCTTTGTCCTTTCCTAACTCCAGAGAGCTGCTGGGGTGCGCACATGGCGTTGTCCAATTGGGTCTTGGCGGCAGCGGGGTGAGGAGGCGTGCTTATGGGCCCGGACCATCTAGCAGGTGGCCAGAGCAAGGTGATTTGGGGAGCATTTCTCTTCTTAGACGAGGCCCCCAGCTTGTTCAGTGGCTGGTGCAGAAGGCGGGAGGCGCTCGGCTTTGTCCCGTGGCAGTGGGACTGTGCTGCTTGGTGGACGCAGAAAGCTTGCTGCCCAAGAGCTGGAAGCACCCAGCACCAGTTGATAATTGAAGAAGGGGGGCCAGCAGGCCTCCCGTAAGTCGTCATTCCTGCGGGCTGCGTGTGGTTTCTTGGAGTGCTGTTGAAACGTGGCTCTGGGGCCATGTGGGAAAGAACGTTGTAACTGAGGGTGGATGCCTGCTGCGGACCTGAGAGGGCCGCTAGGACAAAGGCCCGTGTGTGGTTGGCGGACTTGCCTGGTGTGCATTTGGGATTTTAGCTTTAAGACTTGAAAACTTTATGAAAGCACCCCAAATTTGCTATTTGTATGGGTTTGGAATTATTTTTCTCCTTGTTGGTGGGTTATAGTAATGTTAATTATACATCCTTGGTTTCCCCAGATGGCTGGTTTCTTCTTCTTTAAATACATTTTTAAAGCCTTTGTAAGACTATATGCAAATTTATTTATCTATCTATCTATTTAAAGTAAGCTCTACACCCAGTGTGGGGCTTGAATTCCTTGACCCAGAGATGAAGAGTCACATGCTGTACGAGCCGAGCCAGCCAGGTGCCCCGTATGCAGATTTATAAATCAAGAAATGGGTCCTTTGTGACTGCCTTGTTGAATAGCAAGAAATCTGGTCACTCGGGTGATAGCATTTTGCAGAATGCAAACCACTTGGTGCCTTTCTGTCCTGCTGCATCTTCGTGTCACCGGCAGGTACCACAGTGGCGAGATCATCCTGGGTAAAGTGACTGCAGATGAGATACGCCCTAGCACAAAGAACAGCCTCTGTGCATCCCTACTCTGCCATTTCCTGCTATTTTTATGTCCTTGGAAAAACCGGTTAACATCTTTATACTTTGTTCTCACTTTTGGACCAAGGGGTCGGATATATCCCCTCCCCCCATCCCCCCAAAGGCCTTTCTGGTCCTAAAATGTCTGCCAGTTAAACACTTTGGAAAGTTGTATTTTAGTGTGCAGTCTCTGAAAAAAGACACATGCAGTGACTCCTTGTTTTTTTCTTTTAAACTATTTAGGCTGATTTTTCAAAATGCCGAGTAGGAAATTCGCCGACGGCGAGGTGGTAAGAGGTCGGTGGCCTGGAAGTTCGCTTTACTATGAAGTCGAAATTCTGAGTCATGATAGCCACTCCCAGCTCTACACCGTCAAGTACAAAGACGGCACCGAACTTGAACTGAAGGAGAATGATATCAAGGTAAGTGCTCCTTTGCTTTGCCAGAGTCTGTTTATAGGCAGGGAAATAGCTAGTGGTGTGTTTCTAGGTGTAGAGCGGTCAGTTCTGGCTCTGTGTGGAGTGGTGGGGCCGCGCTTCAGCTTCGGGTTGGGGAGGCACGAGTACAGTGTGGTGTCCTGGTCCCCGAGGCTCCTAGTTCTGGGAGAAGACCTCCTTCTGTGATCATGTCCCTGATGTCATGCCTTCGGTGAGGGAAGTTTGGCGGGTGGTGCTGGGTCTCAGGGAGGGCTTGCAGAGGACACGTGGGTGGGTGCTGAGGCCAAATGGGGAAAACCCGGGGGATGGAGGTTCATGGCTCTTGCCAGAGGCTTTGGGGGGGGGTGGCGGACAGGGATGGCCAAGTGCGCGGTGGGCAAGGGCCAGCCGAGGGTTAACAGGAGCAGAACCAGAGAGGTTTGGGCTTCATCCCGACCACCGAGGATTTCATCAGGAGGGTGACATTAACTAGAGGTAGGTCTGGCCCAGGGTTTCTCAGCCTCTCTGGTGGGGGCCCGGGCTTTAAATGATCTGGTCCATGGTGTAGAGTGCTTACATAAAATACCATAAATGACTTACTAGACGCTTGGAAGAAAGATGCGTGCAGTAAAAGCCCTAACTTTGTAGTGTTAGATTCAACAGGCATAAAATCACTATGTTGAAATGCTGTGAGGATTTCTACACGTCGAGTCTCAATTTCATTTTTTGTTGTAGATCAGTAAGAAACAGTTCTTGAACCCATAGCCTCTGAACCACAGTTTGAGTACTCTCACCTGAGGTTGGCAAAGCTTTTGAACAAAGGGGCAGATAGTGAATATTGTAGGTGTTACGGGCCATACAGTTTCTGCAGTGCGAGGGCAGCTCGAGGCGGTCTGGAAGTGAGTGGACATGGCTGTGTTCCAATAAAACTTTATTTATGGATGCTGAAATGAGAATTTCAAGTAATTCTCATGTGTCACAAAGTTTCATGTTTCTTTTGTCGTTTGCAATCATTTACAAAATGTAAAGCCATTCTTAGCTCCTGGGCCACACAAAATCAGGTGGAGAGAAGAGGGCAGAGCGAGATGTTGCTCATAAGTAACCCAGCCTTGCCTCCCGCTTTCCAGATCCGCCGGGTGTGTTATTGAGAGCGCACCTGCGGGACTCGGTTTCTTGTTACTGTATGTGGTTCGCTTGTCCCCTCATCTTGGTTTGACTCGGTGTCTGGTAGCTGCTCTTGGAGGTGCTGTTGGCAAAGCGCACAGCTAGTTGGCTCGGACACACCCACTCCGGGGCAGTACCTTCTGAGAAGAGTCAGGAGTGGAAAGGCCGCACGTGTCCCGTGGGAGGTGGGCCACTGTGGCAGCATCTGCTTGGCCTGGTCCAGCGGGCCCTCGGCTGCCCTGATGCCTGGGGTGGTCGCAGAGTCGATGGTACCGGGCACGCCTTGGCGCCCTCTTCTCGTTCAGGTCTGTCTTGTGCTAAAGCTCTGTGCCTTCTTGTCCCTCTCTAGCCTTTAACTTCCTTTAGACAAAGGAAAAGTGGCTCAACTTCCAGTTCTCCCTCCAGACGCCGAGGGAGTAGGTCAAGGTCGCGCTCCCGATCCCCCGGTCGACCACCTAGAAGTTCCCGCCGATCCGCCTCTGCTTCGCACCAGGCCGACATTAAGGAAATGAGGAAGGAAGTATTGGAAGTGAAATTGACCCCGCTGGTGTTGGTGCGTGTGTCGGGGCTCGCGGGAGGCCTTTACCCTTGTCCTGGGTTCGGTCGCAAACCATCTTCCTCTTCGTGTGCATGTTTACTCAGACCGTAGTGAGTCATAGTAAAGGGTCAGGGAAGCATCGCATCGAAGGTGCTGACTTTGAAAGGTTACGTAAACAAATGGAAGAATAGGAAGTATAATATTTTTAAATGCCAATGAAAAAGAATGCCAAGTTACAAGAGTGCTATTTAATATCATGGCTTTAAAAAAGGCAGTGTTTAAATTGCACATAGATGTAGATTGTAGGTTGAACTGAAAAAGTTTTATAGTTTATAGAAGTTCACATATAAAATAAGGAAACATAACTGTGTGTTACAAAAGCATACGCTTGGTTTCTTGGCATCATTATACTTGATCACTTGCCCTATTCCAAGATGATAACTTTAATGGAATTACTTTCTGAGTTGAAGTTTGGAAAGGTCGGTGGACAGAACCTGTAGGCCCGTGCACAAGGATATCTTAGATGGTAGGCCAAATGGAAATGAGTTTGAAGAAAAAGAATTGAATGCAGGTTATCTTTTATTCTGTTCACTTATATTATCTCTTTTCTGGATAAATGCACACAGATTTTTAATAATCCTAAAAAACCGGATTTAGGTACACACTGTTTTATAGTCAGATTTTTAAATTTTAAAATATTAGGAATAAACTGCGTTATGTTTTTTACATCGTTGGCTGTATGGAACTGTCCGGTTGGTAAGTCGTACAAATGCGACGTGGTTGCTCACATCAGCTCTCTTATTAATGACAGGCTTAGCTTTTTCTCTGTCTAGTGAACAAATATACAACATCTGATACTTCCTGAAGATCAGTGCTTGGTTGAAAGTGGAACGGCCAGCTCAGATGGTAGAGCAGACTCGAGGCTGGAGCGCATGTGGCCAGACTGCCTCGAGAAGGTTTCTGCCAATATCTGTAGGGTGTGAATGCCCATTTGCTCATTCTGAGAATTATAGTGATAATTTTTTTGGTCGATTTGATTGCCGAAGACCGTCAGCTCACTGCTTTCCCTTGCCTTTGGTGATTACTGGTGAGCTTGAACATTCCGTCTGTTAGCGGCTCTGAGGGCCAGTCAGCGGACTCAGCTTTAAGGAACAGATGCTTCATGCTTTCTGTCACTTTTTCATTTTTAGCATCTAGTGCCCGTTCTGTGTTTACAGTGTGACCTTCTTACAGTCCCGGTGACCCAAGAGCCACAGACTGGCTGTGTTCCTCCAGCAGAGCCCTGGGCCACCGTGTGCGCACCCTGGAATTGAGGATGGCGTGTTGCATGGGCAGGGCCCCACTGTGCTGCATGTAGCTTGGCGGTCACGTGGCTGCCCCATCGTGACCTTTTGCAGTAACTCGCCTCCCTGTGTGCGCATCTGTCACTTTGCCATCAGCACGGTTTGGGGCTGGCCGACCAGCCCGTGGTACAGGGTCACAGGGTGGCTACAGATTATATGGCGGACATTGGAAGTACGGAGAGCGTGGTATTTTTTTTTTTTTTTAAGATTTTATTTATTTATTTGACAGAGAGACACAGCGAGAGAGGGAACACAAGCAGGGGGAGCGGGAGAGAGAGAAGCAGGCTTCCCGCTGAGCAGGGAGCCCGATGCGGGGCTCGATCCCAGGACCCCGGGATCATGACCTGAGCCGAAGGCAGACGCTTAACGACTGAGCCCCCCAGGTGCCCCGAGAGCGTGGTTTTTCCGTAGCTCCGTGTGCTGCTGAGTGGCTCGCTGGTGCCTTGGCCGACTTAAGTGTATGTTGACTGTTCGCACCGCTCAGTTTGACTGCTCTGAGCTAGAACTTGACACTATCTCACTGCGGCACTTTGCTGGTGGGCCTCCCCAGGACGTTTTTAACTTGCTTTCCTCCTCTTGGTTTATTAGTGTTCTCATTTGTCAGTGATGCAGAAAGGAGCAAAGTGACAGATTTCAGCCATGCATTGCCTGAAAAATCTTTCGCAAGCTCACATACTTCCCCGGTTCAGTCCAATGAGAAGTTCCCTCCGCTGTCTGGAGAGTGTGAGGAGAGGGACACAGGCAGAGGGGGCTCAGGGCTCCGTAGAAACCGGGCAGCAAGGTCACTGGCGGCACTCCCTAAGTACCCACCATGTCTTAATTTCCCCTTGGTGGCTAGTTTGGGGCAGTGAATGTCTCCCCTCCCCCCCCTTTTTAACCACTCAGTGAACTAATTGACCAATTGTTACTTTCTCTAACTTATAGCAAATATTAGAGTATCTGCCATTGAACCGTGACACGGTAGCACTCAGTCTAATTATGTTTAAAGGATGAAAGATCTCGTGTAGAGATCTATACTGCAAAGTCCACTCTTTCCAAGACTGGGAGATTCTAATCTTTTATTCCTTTTCCTTTCTAACAAAAGTATGCTGAAATCCCTTAGAATTGAAGCTGTGAGAATCTTTGGTTTGTTTTATTGCTTGATCTCATAATAGCAAATTTCTGCCAGCATGGTCTTTTTAATAAGGTATGATTCTTAAGTTTACAGTGGTTTGATTTCTTCACCTTAGAAGCCATTTGGGAACAGCATCAGCAGGTACAACGGGGAGCCTGAGCGCACAGAGAGGGATGGCCTGCCTCACAGAAACACTGAGGTACGGGGTGTCCTTCTCGTCTCCGGCACTTGTCCTCTTTGTAAATGTGACTTTCCCTTAAGAGTCACACTGAACACCATAGTGTTCTCTTACGATCTCTTCTAAGATTGTGTCCTTAAATTAAGAGTGAATATAATTTAAACAAATTTATTCTTGTTGGTAAACGGCTATATTAAGATGCTGAATCAGTTAATGTGGTAGCACCAATGATAATTACTGGCCGTAAACATTTCTATTTTTTAATTAGGAAAAATTTCATCTGTCGGAAGAAAGTAGTTACATATCTACACAGTATAGCCTTCGGCCAAGAAGAGAGGAGATCAAATTAAAAGACATAGATTCTAAGGAAGAAAACATTGTTGCAACAAAAGGGTCTACATTATTGAAAACCTCTGAAGGGCCAGCCACGCAGACCGAGGGTCTGGAGTTCGGCGGAGTCCCTGGTAGGCGGCAGCGCCGGGCTTAGCGTGGGGAGGGCGGTGGCGGTGAGCATGCGGTGGAGCGGTGCCGGGAAGGAAAGGCTTTCCTCTGAAGGAGTGTGAAGCAGGCCGGGCCTGAGCCGGGCGGGAGCCTGGGGAGGAGCCTTCCAGGCAGAAAGTCCTGCCGTGGGAGCAGTTTTGAGGATCGTCCTAAAGTGGAGAGGGTGCCCGTGTGGCTATACTTAAAACTTCCAGCAATCTGTTAGTAGGTTTCGAACAAAGAAGTGCAGAAGGTAAAGGGAAGGTTGGTGTGGGAGGTGTATGCGGAGGACAGTGACAATTAGGGACGGGAGAATGGACTAATGAGGCCCGAGGGGGCGGACCCCGAGTGCAGCCGTGCCGTGGGCAGAGGCCATGTCCATGGAATGGGGTCAGGGCGTCTGCCAGACCTGCCCGACGGGTTGGCTGTGAGCATCCGAGATCTGAAGTGTTCAAAGGTTTAGTGTTCTGAAGTGGGTAGTAATTTGAAAGTGATGAAATTTCATGTAAAAGAAAATACTAGTAAAAGAAGAATACCCCCTGGCTTAATTGCCTTGTGTTTTGTAAGTTGTAACTGGGCTGGTCGGGCGGCAAGAGGTGGTGTCCAGCATCACTGTGTTTTTGTTTTTTTTTTTTTAAGACCTTATTTATTTATTTGAGAGAGAGAGACAGCGGGAGAGGGAACACAAGCAGGGGGAGTGGGAGAGGGAGAAGCAGGCTTCCTCCTGAGCAGGGAACCCGATGCGGGGCTTGATCCCAGGACCCCGAGATCATGACCTGAGCCGAAGGCAGACGCTTAACGACTGAGCCACCCAGGCTCCCCGAGCATCACTGTGCGCACGCGCTCCGTGAACGGGATCCTGTCCTAATTGCTAAAAACTTAGGGATAGTTTGTTAGCTTTTTTACGATTAGGCTGATAAGTTTTAGATGTTCCGATCTCTAGTTTGCCAGAATCTCCACATGTCTGCTGCCGTGGTGGTTGGATTTTAAATGTATGAGAGCCTGGTCTGTGAGGCGGAGTTCAGCTGTCTGGTGCTGGACCTCAGCTGATTTGCTGTCTCCGGGCTCACAGGCGCTTGCCCACTGGCCAGATGGGTAGAGATGAGGAGCTGATGGTACCCTAGCAGTCGGTCAGATGGTTAGCCAGCCTTCGGCTCTGCCTTGAAAAAGTGAAACCACTAGATAAACCGGACTGAAATTCGAGGCTTGAATGGTCACTGATTGTTTGCAGGTGTGTTTCTCATCATGCTTGGCCTGCCCGCCTTCCTCTTCCTGTTGCTGTTGATGTGCAAACAGAAAGAGCCCAGTCTTCTGAATTTCCCGCCTCCTTTGCCAGCTTTGTCTGATTTGTGGGAAACCAGAGTGTTTGGGCTCTACCTCCTCTGGTTTTTGCTTCAGGCTCTGTTCTACTTACTGCCAGTCGGGAAGGTAAGTTTCCGTTGTGAGGGCACAATGTCTTGCCCACCCCCCCCATCAGGCATTTTTAGGGTAAAGCTCTACAGTAAAAACACACATTCAGATTAACTTAGATAAGCCTACTTCAAACTAGATGACTTTCAATAAGAAATGCAGTTTCTATGGTGAAAGATTTTACAGATATACATGTACATGTCTATTTTCACTCATTTACAGACTACGGCCCACCACAGTAGTTGTTAGATAAGGATCCTACAGCGGTCATTTGAAATTAGCATGCGGGATTCTGCTAAGACTGTGAGCTCCACCAGGCCTCACCTTTCTCCTGGGTCCCCTTTCGCAGCCAGTGAAAGGGAAGAGGAGTCTGGCCCAAGACAGATGACACTGTGTTAGTGCTTCCTATTTCCTACAATTGCAGCATTTCTGAATAGTCATTTTGGGGGGTAGGATGTGGCTGCCATTGGGCAGGTGAATTTTTTCACTCATCCCAACGGAGCCGTGTGTTTGTTGAGTGTGTGTGTGTTGGGGGGGGTGGGGGGGGTGGACTGCAGATGAACAGACGAGTGCCCCCGAACTGGAAGTGCTCACTGCCTCCTGGAGATGGAGAATCCGCGAACGGCCGAGTGAGTGTGCGTGTGTGTGTGCACGTGTGTATGCGTGTGTAACGAGAAGAGCACGGGAGTGTGTGGGACGAGCCCGCACGCGGCAGGTGGGCCAGGGTAGCCGGGCTCAATGTGGGGCCGACGGGCTTGTGCCCTGTCCCTGCAGACGTGGGAGCCGGAGGCGGACAGGGTGGTGGCAGTTTCCAGGCAGGGGCGGTCGGGCAGCCTCGGCTGAGCAGTTTCTCCGCGGGGTCTGTGTGCGCCAGCCCGTCCGCATTCACAGCCTGTCACTGCCTGGGCTACAGAACGATGTCGAAATTTAAGATGTAGAGGTTGCTAGAGTGTTGGGCTTTTTAAAGTTTTAAACTAAAAAAACCCTTTTTTTTTCTGTTAAGGTTGTGGAAGGCATGCCTCTTACTGATGGAAGAAGACTCAAGTATAGATTGAACGGTGATTTTTTCTTTTTCCTTAAGCTTGAGTCTGATGATCGCCTGGAGCCCGTGAGCGCTGTGCTCTTGCGCGTGTCCGAGCCACTGGCCGCCGGCGGGACTAGTGCGTGTTCTTGCCCATGGGCTCCATGGCTAATTGATCGGACCTGTCTGTGTGTTTAACACCAGGGCCCGGGGGCACGGCCAGGCCCGGAAGTCCCATGCTGCCCCGGGAGCCACGGCCACTGGCCTCTGGGTGTCTCTGGGCTGCACGTGCGGCCTCCTGCTGGGACACTGTCCCCCCGAGTATCCGGTGGCACCCCTGTCAGCGTTCTGCTCAGGGGAAGCCCTTGGGTCACTTTCTCTCCTTTTTTATATTTTATCTTTTAATTATTATTTTTAAAAGATTTTATTTATTAATTTGAGAGAGTGAGAGCAAGTGAGAGCGTGAGTTGGGGGGGGGAGCAGAGGGAGAGGGAGAAGACGGCTCCCCACTGAGCAGGGAGCCCGATGAGGTGGGGACTCGATCCTGGGACCCTGGGATCATGACCTGAGCCAAAGGCAGACGCCTCACCGACTGAGCCACCCAGGCGCCCCTTTAGTTCTTATTTTTATCTTAATTCCAGTATAGTGAATATAGCGTCATGTGAGTTTCAGGTGAACAATATAGTGATCCCACACTTCGTCCATCACCTGGTGCTCATCCCTTCTGTCCTTTCTCCTGTTTTCCTCTGTAGCGGCTGTGACAACCAGGGGCCGGGGACTTGGTTGTCTTCCCCTGGGACTCTTGGTGCCGGGAGGGGGACTGGCCTGCAGGAGGTGCTCTCACTCTGAGCGGCGGGCTGGGAGGTGGGAGGGCCCCCACGGTGGGAGGGCGCGCTGCGTCAGAGGATGTGTGCGAAGACCCAGATCCAGTGCAGCTGACCCGCTCTCGGGAGCTACGTGCACCGTGTGGTTGTCCCTCAGCAACGAGAGTGAGTAGACGCCCTGGGGATTGCATTAGAAGTTTTCATTCTTGGCCGTTTGAATCCTATCCCTTGTTACCATTCTCACCTTGGGTACGTCTTCCTGTGACTTGTCAGTGCCTGCTCTGTCTGGAATCGTTCTGCTGGGTTCTAGAAGGGCAGGCAGAGATACTCGAGGTGCGTCCCGTGCCAGGCACGTAGAGCGTGGAGCTGCGCTCGGTGCTGGAACCGCGTGTGATGCGCCGCTGCTGCGCAGTCGACGGCTTCCACCACGCCTGTTGCTGCTAGAACCCGGCTTAGGCTCTGCAGCCCCCGTGAGCCTCGCCCCGCAGCGAGGCCCAGACTGGGGAGAGGTGGGCGGGGCCATTATTGTTGCCCTCGGGCCTGTTGACCCTTGTGTTTGTGGGGCTCCCTGGGCACTCATTTCCTTCTTCTCAAGGCGGTCATGTTTTCACTCCCCTCGGACCGCATGCAGAGCCTGGGTGGCGGCCGGACTAGCTGCTCCACCCTTCTCCGACTTCCCCATCCGGTGGCTCCAGTTCCAGCATTAGATTTCTTGGCGTGAGATTTCAGCCCCGTAAAGCCAAGGAGAGCCCCAGGACACTCCGAATGATGATTTGTAGTGCACACGGGCTACAGGGCAGGAAGCTGCTTTATCTGCTACCCTTTGCCTTTAATATTCATCAATTTTATGAGAGTTAAATGACTGTTTTAGAAAGTTAAAGTTGGGGCGCCTGGGTGGCTCAGTCGGTTAAGCGGCTGCCTTCGGCTCAGGTCATGATCCTGGGGTCCTGGGATCGAGCCCCACGTCTGGCTCCCTGCTCAGGGGAGAGCCTGCTTCTCCCTCTTTCTCTGCCTGCCGCTCTGCCTACTTGTGCTCTCTGTCAAATAAATAAAATCTTAAAAAAAAAAAGTTAAAGTTAAAATACCTAAAAGTCTTTGGACTAAACCTGGTATATGGAGGATGTGGATTTAAATAATAAACTGCAGGTGACCATTTTGCTTTACAAGACCTGTAATTTTAGAATTTGTAGGTAAATAATAGCTACCTCTATTCTGTGTTTGGTGGTTTGTCCAAGTGTAACCTGCTGACCAAATCAGAACACTGCTCTCGTAGGCACTCAGCTCCTGGAAGCAAAAGCTGTTTCTTTAGCTCAGAGACAAGGCAGGCAGTCCTCAGAGCCCGCCGCTCGGGTAGTGAGCCGAGCAGGGCCGGCTGGGCCAGGGTTCCCTGGGGGCCTCTCCTCTCCTCTGAGGGCGGGGTCCTGAGATCTGTATTCTGAGGAGAATATAACTGGGATCTTCTGAAACCATTATCAATCAGGTATTTTCAAGTAAAAACAGTTTTTTTAAGATTTATTTTTAAAAGATTTATTTATTTTAGAAAGAGAGTTGGGGGGAGGAGCAGAGGGAGAGTGAGAGTCTTGAGCAGACTCCCCGCAGAGCAGGGAGCCCGATGCGGGACTTGATCCCAGGACCCTGGGATAATGACCTGAGCCGAAGGCAGACGCTTAACCGACTGAGCCACCCAGGCGCCCCCCTTCTCACCTTTTTAATAGTGAATTTCTGTGCACATTCAGCTTTCTCTTAATTAGAAGTGCATAAGGACTGTTCGTAGCGCACAAGAATAGCTTAATTATGTTAGAATATGGGAAAAGCTGAGCGAGTGCCATGTTCTCTACGGAAGGTTACCTGCCGTGCGCGCCGAGTCCCGATGCTAGTGAGCCTGGCGAGAGGATGCTGCGCGTTGCGTCATGATGTACATCTCGGGATGGCTGCGTTAAGGTTTCTGTGTTGCCCTGTTTTTAGGGTTCTACGCTCTCCTGCTGACGGCTGCAGCCATTGGGGCAGCCGTGTTCTGGGGCGTGCCGCTGCTCTTCGTGTACCAGCACTTCCTGCAGCTGGTGCTGGCCGCCTTCGCCTTTACCGCGGCCCTCAGCACCTACCTGGCTGTGCGCGCTGCGGGGGCGCCCCCGGCCGCCCTGGCCCCCGCC